CCTGCCACGTCCTCCCCAGGGACCTCCCCACAGTGGTGGCCCCTTCTCTCCATCACTCTCCAGCTTTGATTTCTTGATTAAAATCAAATGCTTGCAACAAAGCATTTCAATTAGCAAGACTCTGGCCCCTGCCTGCCCCCAGCTAATTGCTATGATTTGCTGCAACGGGAACTTTTGGGGCCAATCAATAAACTAGAGAGTGTTTAATTAAGAGGGAGCCCCTAAAACTCGTTGCATTGATTGGCTGCAGGTTTATCTTAATTAGGAGGAGTCTGGTGTGTGGTTCCCAGCTCTGCACCCTCAGGAGCATCCAGACCTCCCTGGTGGGGCTGAAGAGCAAGGGGAGGGCAGGGTGTTAATGAGGGGGGTTGATTAACAGGGCTGCTGTTGGCACAGGGGATACCCCTGACACGAGGAGGACAGGCTGGGGAGGATCCTTGGAGCTCCACAAGTCTCCTGGGTTTGGGAGGGTTGGATGCTCCTGGTCAGATCCAGGGCTGGGCTTGTTGATGGCTCTTACTTCATTTAGAGCCACCTCTGGTGAACATCTGGTGGTGGCTGCAGGAAAAGTCTGGGTGTCCTGAGGTTTGCTGGTGGGGAGCATCTCACCCCCAAAGGACTGGGCACGGATCATCCTGGAGAAGAGAAGGCTCCAGGGAGACCTTAGAGCTCCTTCCAGGGCCTGAAGGGGCTCCAGGAAAGCTGGGGAGGGACTTGGGACAAGGGCAGGGAGGGAGAGGACAAGGGGGATGGATTAAAACTGCCAGAGGGGAGACTGAGGTTGGACATGAGGAGGGAATTCTTGGGTGTGAGGGTGGTGAGAGCCTGGCCCAGGTTGCCCAGGGAAGCTGTGGCTGCCCCATCCCTGGCAGTGTTGAAGGGCAGGTTGGATGGGGCTTGGAGCAGCCTGGGCTGGTGGGAGGTGTCCCTGCCCATGCAGGGGGTTGGGACTGGATGATCTTTAAGGTCCCTTCCAACACAAACCAGTCTGGGATTCTATGGTTCTATGAAGCTGCTCTGAGTGCAGGACCAGCCTGGTGTCCAGAGCAGTAAGTGCCTGGAGCAGGTCAGGAGCATGTGAACCAAGGACAGTCCTCACTCAGCCCTGCACTGCCCCATGTGGGGGTTGCCAAACCTGTGCCCACGCTCCCCCAGCCTGTGGCTGTGCCTCAGTTTCCCTACTCATGAGGCCGGGCATAAGGCTGCTGCCCTGGCCTTGGGGTGTCCTTGGGGCTTTGCAGACAGTGAATCCTGGGGGAGCTGCACCCACAGCCCCCCTGCCTGTGCCATGTCTCTGTATTTCCCTTTCAGCAGAAAGATCTGATAAGTCTGAAAAACCCCAGGATTTCTTTTTCCTGCGGAGGGAAAATTCTTAAACACCCGCAGACCCGAAGCAGCGTTTTACCTACCAGGGTGGCTCTGGCACCATTTCTCAATGCAATTTGCAGCCCTGGCTCATCCGCAGGGATACTGAGGTGTTTGCCATTCATTTTGCCTCTCCTTGGGATGAAGGAGGAGGTTTGAGGAGGCTCTTCCCAGCTCCTTCTCCGTCGGTCTGTCCTGGTTTGCCGGGCTGGGCTCGGGCAGCCGTGCGGGCGCAAGCACGTGGCTCTGGCTCCATGGGATGTTCTCAGAAGCTCTTCCCAGACCCATCCCTCAACTCAGAGACTCACCAGGACCCGAAACTTGGAGCCTTCACATCTGGCTCCTGCTAAGCAGCTCTGTCAGCAGCCCCCAGATGGATGCAGGGCCATAAAACCCCGCGCGCCGCACTCCTTGTATCATTTATTATTTACATTCCCCAATTTAAAAGATTTACAGCCCGGTTGTGAGTATTTCCAAAGGCTGTTTCCTGGGAGAGTTTAAATAGCGTGGAAGTGAATTAAGCTTCAACACAAACAGCTTTGGTCTTGGCCCTGTGGATTCAGGGGCTGCCTGGGCTGGGCTGCTCTGGACCTTTGCATCACTGTTAATTGAAACCAGGGTCCTGCTGGTCCCATTCCAGGGGTCAGGTAGGGAATGGGATGCCATGGTCCTTGGCTCTGCCTTTGGCTTCCTACCCACTGGCAGGATGGAACTGGGCTAAAATGGTCATTAATTAGAGCCCTCATGAAGCCAGTTCAATGAATGTGTGATGTTTAATGGATGGGGAAACTGAGGCACAGCTGGCACTTGCAGACACTGCCCCCAACAGAGGAAGGACATGGAGCTCCTGGAGAGAGTCCAGAGGAGGCCATGGAGATCTGAGGGCTGGAGCAGCTCTGCTCTGGGGACAGGCTGGGAGAGCTGGGGTGTTCAACCTGGAGAGGAGAAGGCTTCAGGGAGATCTTAGAGCAGCTTCCAGTGCCTGAAGGTGCTCCAGGAAAGCTGGGGAGGGGCTTGGGACAAGGGCAGGGAGGGATGATGGGTTTAAACTGGAAGAGGGAGATTTAGATGAGACATAAGGAGGAAATTCCTGGGTGTGAGGGTGGTGAGAGCTTGGCCCAGGTTGCCCAGGGAAGCTGTGGCTGCCCCATCCCTGGCAGTGTTGAAGGGCAGGTTGGATGGGGCTTGGAGCAGCCTGGGCTGGTGGGAGGTGTCCCTGCCCATGCAGGGGGTTGGGACTGGATGGTCTTTAAGGTCCCTTTCAACTCCAACCATCATATGATTCACCATGGTCACCCTCACAAAACACTTTGGGAAGGGTTTTTGCCATCTCATTTGTTTCCCCCCTGTAATTAGGACACATTAAAGCCAGGCTGAATGGACAGGGATGCTGTGGGGCAGCTCCTCAAGGGAACTTCAGATGGAGCTGCTGGTGAACAGAGAGGGGGATGTAAAGCCTGTTTTCTCCTGTGCTTTTCAGGATAAACTCCCACTTTTCTACCAGGATGAGAGTCAGTGCACCAAGAGGGGAAACTGAGGCAGGATTTGGGGCCCCAGAGCTCATGAGGTTTATTAGGTGAACCTGGGGCATCTCAAAGAGCAATGAGACAGGGCTGGGCTGTCAGGAGGATAAATGGAAAGAGGTTTTTTTGGTTTGCAAGGCTACTGGAACCACACCTCCCTGCAGCCCTGTCCCCACACCCTTGAGGTGCATCCCAAACTTTTCCTAAAAACCCATAGCCTCATCAAATCCCCAATTTTCTCCTTACAACCATCAGTGGATGCTCAAGAGCTCCCACCTCACCTTTGCAACCACCTTTCTTTAAGCTGATCCTGTAATGAAGAGTAACAGACCCAGAGCCAGCAGGAAATAGAGCCATAAACAAGCTGTGGGCTAAGGGGCAGATCCCACCAGACACCATCCCTGGTTCTGGGTGCTGTGCCTTGATGAAGCTGCAGCACGTCCTTATTTATGGGCTGGAAACGGTAACAGTGACCAAACCCCAGTGGCATCAAATAGGGGTTGAAAAATCACTTGGGAAATACTTGGGGGGCCCCCATGTGCACGGCCACGGCTTCCCGTGGGAGAAGCTGAGCTCAGGGAGAAGCCCAGCCTGGAGGGGGATTGCTCAGCAGTGCCCGAAGGGGTAAACTGAGGCACAGAGGGTGCTGGGGGGGGGGCAACGAGCTGGTATCTCCTTCCTCCCCCTCCTCAGCCACAAACACTCCTGATCCGCCCTCGCTCCCCGCGGCACATTCACCCACCGTTTCAGCCTCTCACAATTAATGATCCAAGGGGTTTCCCGTTAATTACCGGCTCCCTCTTTGCCTTCAGCATCCCGGGAGCTGCTGCGGTGCCTTTAACACCCCCCGACCCCTCCTCTTGCAGGTCGCGGCTCTGGAGAGGCAGATCTTTGACTTCCTGGGCTACCAGTGGGCACCCATCCTGGCCAACTTTTTACACATCATGGCCGTTATTTTGGGTATTTTTGGGACCGTCCAGTACAGATCCAAATACCTCATGATGGTAGGTACCGCCGCGGGTGTGTGTGTGTCCCAGGGATGGCTCAGCTCCCGGATCCCAGCCCCGTTCCCCGTGGATGGGGCGGGGGGTGCGGAGCCCTGACCCGCTCTCCTCCCGCAGTACGCGGTGTGGCTGGTGCTGTGGGTCGGCTGGAACGCCTTCATCATCTGCTTCTACCTGGAGGTCGGACGCTTGTCGCAGGTAACGCCTCGCCTGCCTCCTCTTCCTCCCTCCTCTTCCTCTCCCTCCCGTCCCTCCCTCTTTCCATCCTCCTTCCCTCCCTTCCTCCATCCCTCTTCCCTCCATCCCTCTTCCCTATCTCCCTCCTTTTTCCTTCCTTCCTTCCTTCCTTCCTTCCTTCCTTCCTTCCTTCCTTCCTTCCTTCCTTCCTTCCTTCCTTCCTTCCTTCCTTCCTTCCTTCCTTCCTTCCTTCCTTCCTTCCTTCCTTCCTTCCTTCCTTCCTTCCTTCCTTCCTTCCTTCCTTCCTTCCTTCCTTCCTTCCTTCCTTCCTTCCTTCCTTCCTTCCTTCCTTCCTTCCTTCCTTCCTTCCTTCCTTCCTTCCTTCCTTCCTTCCTTCCTTCCTTCCTTCCTTCCTTCCTTCCTTCCTTCCTTCCCTCCTTCCTTCCCTCCTTCCTTCCCTCCTTCCTTCCCTCCTTCCTTCCCTCCTTCCTTCCCTCCTTCCTTCCCTCCTTCCTTCCCTCCTTCCTTCCCTCCTTCCTTCCCTCCTTCCTTCCCTCCTTCCTTCCCTCCTTCCTTCCCTCCTTCCTTCCCTCCTTCCTTCCCTCCTTCCTTCCCTCCTTCCTTCCCTCCTTCCTTCCCTCCTTCCTTCCCTCCTTCTTCCTTCCTTCCTCCCTCCAGGAAGCCCCAAACCCTGGGGACATCACCTGGGGTCCCTTTGCTGCGCTGCAATAACATGACCTGGGTTTTGTGGAGCACCCTCGGGTTGGAAAACCCCATTTTCTGGCCATCCCCTCTGCAAGGAACGCCCCCCCCCCCAGCTCCAGGGTCTGTGCCTCCTCCTCTGCTCCCCTCCTGCAGGACCGAGACTTCATCATGACCTTCAACACCTCCCTGCACCGCTCCTGGTGGATGGAGAACGGGCCAGGCTGCCTGGTGACCCCGGTGCTCAACTCCAACCTGGCACCTGAGGACCACCACGTCATCACTGTCAGTGGCTGCCTCCTGGACTACCAGTACATCGAGGTCCTGAGCAGTGCCACGCAGATATTCCTGGCGGTACGGGCAGCTCTGGTGCCTTTCCTCCTCACTCCCAACTGGTGGGGACTGGGGTGGGTAGAGCCAGCTGGGAATGTCCCACCGTGTCGCCACACACCAGTTTGTGGCACCAAGGGTGGTGTTGGCTGGGAGGTGAAGAGCAGATGGAGCCCGTGCTGGCACCCTGGGGGTGCTGCCCTCCCCAAAACCCTGGGAGCTGGGTGCTGTGGGAACTGGGGGGTTCTTGGGGGGATGCACCCCGGCGCTGCCTGGCTGGAGTGGGAGCTGGTGGGATGTGCTGCTGGATGGAAAGGGAGGGCTGCCCCTTCCTGGTGACTGTCTCACCCACAGGTCTCACCCCACAGGGAGGTAGGAAAGGGACGCACTTGTGTGCAAAGCTTCTGGGGAGGTTTGGGAGGGTGCAAGAAAATAAGGATTTAAAAGGAATGGGGGTCCAGAGCAGCTGCCAAAGGGGCACCCAGCACAGTGTGGGGGGTGCAACACCCTCTGAGCTGCCATCCTAGTGTGGTGCCAGCCCAGCCCCCCAAAAGCCACCACCCATGTCCCCCCAGCACAGATGAAACCCTCTGACCACACTGCATTCTAACCCAGTACCCAGACTCACCAGAGATGGATTCCAGCACCACAGCAGCCCTGATCCTACCCCGGATCCCCTCAGGATGCTCCCAGGCACCCACCTCACAGCTCCCACCCCCAGCCCCCCACCCACGCCCTGCTGGTCACATTGCCCATCACCCCACAACCCACCTCTCTCTGTCTGCTTTTGTTTGACAGCTCTTTGGCTTCGTCTACGCCTGCTATGTCAGCAAAGTGTTCCTGGAGGAAGAAGACAGCTGTAAGTGCTTCTGATGTCAGTCATGGGGTGGGGGGAAGAGCCACAAAATGGCCTCAGCCAACACTGGCCAGTGCCTCATCAGGGTGGCAGCTCCTGGCTGGGGACAGGGCAGGGATGCCAGGGTCACAGGCAGGTGAAGGGATTCCTTGAATTGTTTGGGTTTTGGTTTTTTACCCCATTTTCCACCCCTGATGAGGCAGATGTGCTGGGGTGTGAGGTGCCACCAGCAGTGCCACCCTTGGAGAGGGTGCTGTGACCTGACCAGGGTTGGGGAAGGAGAGGGATGGGGACAGTGAGCCCTGAGCTTCTGCATTCCCATGGGACTTCAGCAGTCCCAGCCTTGGGATGCAGGAGCAGGGCCGGGTCACCCAACACGTGGGGTCAAGCTCTGTCCCCACACCAGCCCAGAGAGAGGCTGAGAGTGTCCCTGATCCCTGATCCTTGCACCAGCACCATGGCACCGAGTCCACCAGGATGCTCATCCCCACCCTTGGCTGCTCAGGGGTGGATTTGTGACCAGCACTGCTCTTGCTCTTTCCTGCTGACCCGAATTCAGAGCACCTCCTCCAGGACAGAGCATCTCCCCCAGCTTCATGGTCCAAGTATGGCAGAAAGGACAATCACCCTGGCTGTAAAAAAGCCACCTCCAAGCCCTGAGAAGTTCATGGTGAATGTTCTCCTGTGGATCCAGCCCTGTGGGGGCTACAGGAGAGGCTTCCTCCCTGCTCCCATCACCTGGAGCCACCTGCTCCTCACCCTTTCACATGCGGCTTGGGGACAATGGGAAATACTGGGTCAGTGGGGTGACAGAGCCCCCCTCCCCACCTCGAGGCTTTTCACCCCAGAACAAGGGGAAAACCAGCAACTGAAGCCAAGTTCTGGGCTGATGTTTCTCCAGATCCATGCTGTGCTCTCCGGTGGGACGACGCTCCCTGGGAACACCCCTAGGGAAGTGCTGAGCAACCCCAACCCCCGTTCACCGAGCGTTTTAAGGCTGCAGCCACCCAACCACAGCCAGGCCTCATCTGCCACCAATTAATTCCTACCAGCTGGCAGCTCCCAGCAGCTCCTGGCAGGTTGGGACGTGCCTCAACCACCGGCTCAGCAAAAACCACCCAGATGCTTCCGTCACCCGGTTCCTTCCCGGCAACATCAGGAGCAGCATTCCT